GATAATCTGGGTTCGACCGATATCTTTTTCTTGATTGTACATATGTGACACTGATATGTAGTATTTGCTACAGGTTATTTACCGTGTAAAATCCATACAACATCGCATCTAAAAACAACAAGATGAGGTGATTACCGAAAGTATAGTTTTTAGCTCCTGTTGATATATAAAGCAGCCGAAAGTTTACGTCTTAGCTCCCGTCGGTTTATAAAGCAGCTATTCCATTTTGTCACCTGTCATGATATATCCATGAAGTAACGAGTGAAACGGCTAGAGATCAAGCTTGATTTTTTAATAAGAATTTATTACGATACATATAGTATTTGTTGTGTTCATTTAAAAATGACACTGAAATTTTCTCCTCTATTGCGACAATCGAAATCTTTCATAATCAGGCTACCTTTACGTTGCAAAACTTTCAACAATGACGGGCGCATAGGCCGATAAGTGCCAGCGATAAGCTTGACACTCAGACACTAGATTGGTTTGCAACATATATTTAAAAATGTACCATAGTCCATATTTCGTATTTTGGAACCCCCATATTTCATGGTATATGCCAAATTTATCTCCATAGTACATATTTCGGGATTTTCCAAAATCGTCCATATTACGTATTTGGACCTTATAGTATGGCCGATTTTCCCCCATATTCATACTCCATATATATGGATTCCCAGGCCTGGTCCTGTCCTATTCTCAGCGGATTATCTTGCTCTGAGATAATAATCATTTCATGCCTGAGACCCTCTGTTATGGTGCTCTCAGTATTTAGAGAGTCCCAAGGTGTCACTTTCAGATGTCAAATTTGTATTATTCCTATCTTTTGTACAATTCCAATTTCAATACATATTTGGAAAACCACTTAATTGTCTACAGGAGTCCCACACTCTAACGTATACTGTCACATGTTCAGAATCTTAAATTACGCAGCTCTTGTTCATGTCCAATCCGTTAAACGTATTACAATGTTATACGTGTAAACGTTAATAAAAATACGTTTATAATATACGTTAACCTGTGCCCTTGAGGAGCGCCACACTTCCGAATTGGTACAAAGTTTGTGCTATCGCATGTCGATAACCATCCGTGCCTGACCAACAAGAAGTGGTCCTGAATAAATTAATCTAAATTAGCGATAGATGATAATCAAAGGCTATATTTTAACTATGAACAGCCAGGTAACAAAGTGCTACTTTATTGATGGTAGTGAAGTACTTAGCTATCACGTGGGAGTGGTCTGCAGGCCTCTATACTGCTGTAAAGTAGTTCGATGGAATCAAACGAACAAACCTGACATAACTTTACAATATTACGTAAAGAGAAACGACGTTGTGGCACTTTGGTTGTTTTTCGTTAAAACTATCATATTTCTGGTGGAAGTAGTTACTTGTGTGGGTTGTTTTGGCAGCGTCTGTAACAATCCAGCAACGCTCATCGACTTGCACAAAGCTCCAATTGAAAAACTGTCCATTTCCTGAATTGTCGAATAATGTTGAGAGCAAAATTGAATCATTGCCGACGACAAAACCTCGTTGCGTCGCGTTAACAAGCGTTCAGGTGTTATTTTATCTCGTTGACAGTCCTTACATGCCGTCTTCAATCTTCTCTGAGAATTTGATAAATGTATGCCAAGTGTGTGAGTTCCGTCGTAGGTATGGTTTGCCTCACCCCAATGAATTCCGGAGTACCCATCATATTTTGTTCCCATGACCGACGGCAGAAGTACTATCTCACTGGCAAATTTTGTCGCGGAACCTCTGAGTTGCCTTACGCTATTACATGCCCAACAACTACCATCATAATTGCTACTATAATTATCTAACACATCTAGTATGACTTGTGAACGTGGTGCGGAAAAAAGAAATCCATTGTACACGGCATGTTGACTTTCCTCGATTGCTGTCAACGTGCCCGTTTTCAAGTGATCAGGTAAAGAGCGTAGGAGAAGAAAGTCTACATCAAGATAGACGCCTCCATACTTGTAGACAGCAAGAAATCTAACTATGTCGGCAGCATGTGCTGGTATGTCTACGCTTATTCCGTTGATTTGGTTGAAATCAACAGTTTGTAGACTGACAGTGCTTCTGATAGCCTCGAAATATGGCCCTTTCGGAATTTTTTGTACGTAAAGATACGTCACTTCAGGCTTCAGAAAGAATTGAGCTAAACTGATCGACAAGAAAGCATAGTATGGCAAATCGACGTCTTGCTGCGTCATCCAGCACATGTGTAAAATGGGTGGGGTTCCTACTTGGTTGACAGTGTTCCGACTCATTATTGTTAAGGGCTCAAAGGACACTATCGAACTATAGAGAAAGAAAATTATAATCAAGCATAAAAGAACCGCCATTATTTTGCTGAAATTAGTAGGCAGCGTCATGGTATCAGTAATATTTTGTAATCTAGTATATACCTTGTGTAAATATGTTTTGTCTATGTGCAGCATTTTCAAATTTTCAAATTGATATTCAACTGTACTGAACATCAACTGTTGTGAATAGTAGTATTGTTGACGACGTGCTGTAAAACCCCTAAAAAAAAGTATTGTAATTTTTAGATAATTGACTACGCTCCAGACTCTATAGTAGTAGGTTATCGAGGGTTTCTACTTCTGTGAGGGTTTCTACTTCTGAGCGAGTTGCTGCAGGCAGAAAGTAGAAGTGAGAAGCTGACCGAGGAACATATATTTTTCGGTAAGAAATATGGCGAAAAATCGGTATATTTATATAGGAACTTGTCAAAAATGAGAATTATTTACAACGAATGGTTATTTATTTTAGTGAAACTGGTAAATAAGGTGCACACATCCGAGAACCGGGGTACACCCGCCAATTTTCAAATGTAAATAACTTTTGATCCAAACGTCAAAAAGTTCCAAAATTGGAACAGTGCACTTGAAATTCTGTGATCTGTCCCAAAAATGCAATAAAAAAACTATGGAATATACCGCTATGGGACATTGTCACTCACACTGTCAAAAATCTGAGAGAAATAAAATTAAAAATATTATTTCAATCGCATTCTAAACGTACAATACACATGTATGAATCATTTGTATCCCGTAACCAGTGTTATTAAGTGTATACATATATCGGTATTATACAACATGCCTCCACTAAGGAAAAGTGCGAATAAGACATCCTTTCTCTAGGCTGTTGAGCAGGAAGAGGGCTGTCCTCGGTAAAGGTGGATGGTTTGTCTCCAACAAACCAAAAGAGGATAAAGAGTTTGAAGCTACAAGTGCTACAGAATCGGAGAGTGGATCAGGAGACGGTTCGCTTGTCTCGCATGCGCAACGTTCTTTATTTTCATCTAGACAACCAAGATAATCGGATCGTAGGTTTACACGTGAAAAAATAATAAAGTAAATTCGGACAATATCTTTCATAACTACTACTGTCCGAAGTTAGGGCGAGTCTAAAGCCATTTACAATACGTTAAGGTAAAGTATTAAAGGTGATAAAGGGCCGATGTGGTTTGAATGTTGCACTTTGATTTTCCACAGTTTGGCCGGAGATTTTTAGAGGTGCGTTTGTCAACGAATTGTAGTGAAGATAATCTGTAAAAATTGGCTATTGTTATCCAACCAAGTTGGATAACAGATTTTGGGCTGAAAAATTCGATTGGTATAGTCTACTGGGCGGTTTTGTATATTTTAGTCGTTGAAATAGAGCCACAACCGTTCACAAAACACAAAAACGCACATGAATTTGTATGATTTCACCCATTTACTTGTGTAATATCGACCTTTCCAGAATTGCACACAATGGTGGCTAGCAATTTATCTATAGATTGTTTATTCCGTAATGCATCTGTCGAGTATAAATATGAACATATTAGTAGCACAATCGTTGTATTTATACTTCGTGATGATGGATGAGGTCGATCGCGAGGAATACTTCATTTAATCCGAAGATTGCGATGGCTTATGATGGATGTTGTACTGTGATGTAAGGATGGCAGAACAAGAATCCAATAGAAAATTTGAAGACAATTGGTAGGGTTCAGATGCAGGAGTAGATAGTGACTTGACAGACGCAAGAAGTTTATTTTTTGGAGTAAATGATATTAGTGATTAAAAACGATGATGTTGGAACAAGCGACGAATTATTTGGAAAACTTGTTGAAATATTTCATGTACAAATGGATCCTTATGGCGAGTGGGTTCACGGAGATGCGGGCGTTCTTCGAACAAAGTCAGTGTCGGTGGAACTTCAAGCGTCAATGAAACAACAAGCGTAGACAAACACGAGAGTACTGATGGCGGTGTGAAGAAAGTGATGAAGATTGTGTAGAACTATCTAGAACAGCTATGGTAGCTATGATTACTCTATTGCTGTTAATATACTAAACTTACGAAACTTTGTATAAGAAAACAAGACTAGGGCTTTTATATATGTACCGGCCAACGTTTGCTCAGATTGCCGGGCATTTTATACAATAACCCCCCCCCCCCCCCCTAAAACCAGATCTTAGAATGAGCTGTGTACAATATCAGATACTTACGAATATGTACAAATGTACATATAGCGACAGTTCATGTACATTTACTGACTTTATCGTGCATAATTTGCTTAAATTTAAATCGAAGAGCCTTTGGCTATATCCATTTTTTACGAATAAATCTGTTGAGGGGGGATATGTTGTCTTTTATTGATCGGTGTTGATATATGCTGCTTCATTCAAGCTTATCTCACTGCTTGGTTTGCAACTCACGTGGTCTGTGATGCTCTTTTACAAGAACATACGAGAATAGTGTTTTGAAAATCAATTTTTCTAATTCTGTTGTCATGTTGGACACTGGTGACATAATCGTGCGAAGCTAACGCCTCCAAATTATGCACGAGTTGTGAATTTCCTGATACTGCTCGAGCATAGGCACAAAGCAAACCACCACAGTTAAAACTGTCGTGTTGGTTTATACCGCCTACTTTTAGGCTGTATGTAACATTATCTGTAGGGTAACATTTCATCCATCATACTATATAATTGAATTGTTCTTCAGCTCTAACAGGATTTGGCATACCATCTAAAATGGTAGCTGTAGTGTTTGTTTTGTACAATGTAAAAATCGCCAAGTTCCAATGTGCGTTTCTATGGTTCCACGGGATCAATACAGAGATCCTTTCGGACACCTGTGGCGGTATGATGATTTAATTCCCCTGGCAGTTTACTGCTAATTGTAGGTTGGGAAATTGGGGATCAGTAAAACCTTTACCGAGCTTCATCTTACAGAGAAACGACAATCCTTCTCAAAAATGTAAAACACGCCTTGATGCGTAGTCAATGTTGTTGTTGTTACTAGCCGTTATTCTCATTTGGCTGGATGTACATTCCTTGTCTGCACCGTAATGTACATATTGTGTCAGCCAGCACAAGTTTTGAATGTGAATATAATCATTACGTTACTCGAATATAGTCATTACACTAACTCGATTTTCAGATATACAGCCTGAAAACATACTTTCACTGGTTTCCGTGTCACATTTCACTGGCGAGGTTTCTGTCTGTATAGGTGTCGGATTGTTATCAGCGTCTGGGACGGGCGCAATGATATCTGTGACAGGGCAGTGACAGGGCGAATTAAACTATGGAAGTCAGACTTTGTATCAATTTATTATGTGACAAAAACATTTCGAAAATATTTTATACCCATTCGATGCGCCAGTGAAATGTCAAACATACCGGAAAACCAGTCGAGGCCAATAAGAGGGAAACTTCCCGCTCCTTTTCATATTGCTTGATAGTTTGATGTAAAGAAGCTCCCTTTTGATGTTCTCCCGAATCAATCGCTTGTTCCCATTGCGGCATCAGTTTCTCTGTACACGTAGTAATGCGTCTCATATTTTCCCTGTGAACGGATTTTTGTTAAAGCACTATCTTTTAAACAAATCCAATTCCTTCCCTTATCTTCATCGATTTAATATTTTAAAGAAACCGAATAGATGTAAAGTTTGAGAGTGACTGAAAGATACGACCAAAGGATACAATAGACCTTTTCTCAAGTGCGAATCTCTCAGCTGGGGTTATCGGCTGAAGGACTCGCATTAAGTATTTATTTGTGTTTAGTATTTTCTACACTAGACTCAAGTTTACTTAAGTGTTTCCCTCACACACGGGAGTCCCGGTATCATCTACCGGTATTCCCGATTCTATTTACGATCGCTCTATCATCAGAAATATTAGATCTTAGATCCTAAGCTCATTATTTGATGATCCTAATTTTTGGGTTTAGGATTGGCTTTTCTGATAATCCGGTCCCTGGATACTGCAGCCCCCCGACTGTATGCTTCTCAGCCTGTGTAGGAGTAGAAAGTGACATCTTATAGGACTGGATTATCTAGAGGTTGGTGTTTTTGTATAGGGAAAATATTGTCCCTTAGGGGGCATAAGATGAAAAATCTGCCACCATTATCCATTCTAACATATTACTTATTATTTAACTTATACTAAATAACATAAGTACTCTACACGCTCATCGGAGTCAGTCTTAACCTGTGCTCTCGATTGATCTCAACTTGGCTAGGAAAACGCGTCTCAACGGTGGCTCTTAACCGAGTCTGTGATCCTCATCCCTCTGGTGTGTGGGCAGAGCATGCTTCAAGGTGAAAAACGTGGATGTGTCCTTCGGTGTCAGTGAAGCTTGGCTATGTTCTCCGCCTCGTGCGCTGCCTGTTGCTCGCTGATCGCTCATCAGTGCTTGTTGCTGTTGACTTCTTTGGCCTGGATTACCTTCGCTTGCGTCGTTTACGCTGTCGGTATATCATAAGAATATCGGCATCTGCGATGTCTGATTTATGTGTCCAGGTATGCACCCCATCTGTCCATTGCAGTAGGTAATCCTGGGTTCCACCACCTCTTGTGGATTCTCTGTTGTCAAGCATCGAGGGGAAATGCGTCTCTACTGATGGTTGTACTTGATTGTTGGTAATGAATTCTTCAAGCTCGCGAGACCTTTTTACTGAATCAATTAGCTCATCGCTGATTGAGTTAGGATATTCGGGGGCTTTAGTTCCATCACGGTTACGGACAAAATACCCGTTGCTCTCCTTGCTTGCTTTTTTGTATGGCCCTCCGTAGGGTGCTGTCATTTTATTCATTTCAATTAGGTAACGGACCATCACAATGTCCCCTACTTGGAAGTGTACATATTTCTCCTGATATTTTTGGTCAAATGCTGCGCGCATTTTCTCGTGTTATTGTGTCACATTGGTGTCTAGTTGTGGTCGTATTGACTCTTCTAGATTCTTCAGTCGTGTTTCCCATGGTATTGTTGTACCTGGTGCACTGACTGTTGTGTCGTATTTGGTGAGTTAATTTTATCGTCGTCCATAGTACACATTGAAC